GCCGTCTTCTTATAGCTATCTTTGTCTCTTGGTTGTCACACTGGTTGTGTTCTCCAGATGTTTCTAGATTCGTTCTCTGGCCACAGGAGTGGCTACTTAGCTCAGTAGTGCCTTCACATGGATGCTGGGAATAGGTTTAATTTCCATTGGGAGCCTACTGGCAAGCAGGTGTGCGAAGCCAGGTAACCATCTTTGGGAGAAGACTTGTTGCAGCTTGGAAGAAGCCTAGGCCAGAGTTAAGGAGGCACCGTAAGAGAGTTGGAGCCCTGTTCCTGCCAGCTGACTGCACACTGAGTTGTACTAACAAAAATGGCCATAGTGCCAGAGAGAAGTTTTTCAGCCCCCTCTCTCCTGCCCTCCAGGCCTTGGGCAATGGTTTGCCACTCTCTGAATTCCTCGGAGCTTTCCAAGGGGCTGCCCGTGCTGCGTGGACACGAGCCAGCCCTTCACCCGGGGCTCAGCAGAGCTGCGGTCTTTGAGCAAAGGCGGCTGTGAGACCACATTCCTCTTAAAACTATGACAAAGACGCACCCGTCTTGAGCATTTGCTGACCTGCAGATGGCTGAGGATGCACCTGCCTGGAGCAGGGTCGTGATGGCTACCCCAGCTGTCTTGCATGCAGCTCAATCCAGGACCACGTGCCTTGCTGTTACCAGCTGTCTGGTTTATCTGTCTCCTCATCGTGCTCAGGCTTCAACACTTAGGACTGTGAATTAAGACCACAGCTTAAGACTTTTCTGTAAATAAATGTGTTCATTCCTGATATTTAAAGGTAAATCTGCTGCCTGGTGTCTTTAGAAGTAATGAACAGGCTCAGACCTAATACCAGTGATTCCTTGGAGAGCCTTGCCACAAGATTGGAAACCTGGGTATTACAGCAGAAGTGAAGAGTAGCTCACTGAGCTTGTCACTGCCGGTCTCGGGGCGTCCTGCTGTGGAAGAGCATCCTAGGGCGGGAGCTCTGCTCCCAGCCCTTTACAGCAGGAGCTGGATAAAGCAGCACTCAGCCTGCGTGGCTCCGTAGCCATCTTAAGACTTACCTCACTCTGCAGTAAAAGTCTCCAAGGGGATTGCAGGCTCCTGTCACCAAGCAGCTAAAATGAAAAGTCTGGCTCTCTTACATTCTTGCTTTTGAGGAGCTGGCACTTCATTCCCAAAGGTAAATTGAAGCCCTGACAAGGGAGCTGGGAGCAGCTTCCTCTGAACTGTTGTGCCACAGCCTTATGCTTTTTCCATGTGCGTGACTCGCACTCAGTCAAACACTGACTTGTAATCTTGCTTTGAAAAATAAATTGCCACCCTCATTCTCTGTGTGAGCTAGCTAACTCGTTTTGAATATGGATATCTCGTGCCCAGGTGACATGATGTGGTATCCCTCTGAGCTGAAGCGGAGATCCGAGCTGAGATGAACCCAGATACCCAGCTGCTCCTGCTAAAAAGCTAAAAGACTGCTGGCAAACCAGCCGAGCTCCGGCTTCCAGGACCTGTTCTTCAGAGCAAACACGCCACTGAGAGCAGCATTGGGCTGCTCACGCACAAACTGGGGCGGCAGGTCTAGCCGGGCTCCTTAGTCCAAAGCTCTCCTCTTAGAGCTCCTGACTCAGCCTTGCTGCAGCTCAGTAGCAGTCGGCAGCCTCCGACTCACCCATCTCCATGGCTTAGACCCCATGGGTGGAGGTGACCCAGCAGGAGCAACAGTCTGGCACGTCACACATCCGGGCTCATGGGAGAAGGTGGTGATTGGCCTCATCGTGGTCCTTAGTTGGCTGATCGCTTTGCAGGGCCTGGCCAGATACTCCTGAGGCTGGAGCAGTCGCACTGTTGCCAGAAGAGGGGTATTGCCTGGGGAGAGCTTTGCGGAGGTTGCGCCCGACTGCAGCCCCAGCCTGGAGGCTCTGTGAGAGCTCGTAGCAGGGATAACTGATTCAGGTTGGAAATACCAAGAGGATCAAGGCTTCAGCTTAGCGTGCCAGTGCGCGGTGAGGGCTGTGCTCCAGCTGGGCCCTGGGTCACGTGAAACCTGCTCGGGATAGGCAAGAGCTAAAAACCACTGTCGTGGGAACTGGTGTCATGCTTACCAAGGCAAATAAAGCAGCTCCACTATTGATCTGCTATTAAACACAGTTTCACCTCTGATCACTTTGTATTTGCAGCTAACTCCACTTAATGGTGGAGTTACTCCACTTTTCTTTGCTACCTTCTCCATGCTCCCTCCTCCTTCTGGAAAAAAATCTTGTCTCGCTTCTGTGGCATTTATGTTTCAAAAAGACTGGCTGCTTGAGGTGATTGGTTTAACCATGCGTCTGAGAAGGGGAGAGCAGCCCTGATGGCCTCCTGGGGATTCGGCTCCCTGGGAGGCAGCCTGGCCTCCGCGCAAGGCGCCGCGCGCTCTCCTTGGCTGTCGGGATGGTTTTGCCATTGGCAGACTTTGTGTTTGGTTCCTAATAAGACTAATCCTGGGAAAGCTCGCTGGATCCCAAACTGACAGGACGTGATGGGTGCTGTGGGCCATGTGTAGCAGGTAACCGCAGTTAATGTGGACCCTCAGCAAGGTTACCTCTGTCCTTCAGCAGCCTTTCTACTTTGCAAGCAATTAGTTGCGAGCTGCTGCTCGTCAGCAACAGCCGTCTGAGCTCGTCTCAGCGTTTGCTTGTTGTCTGGAGCCTGCAAAGTCCCTTTGCCTTTGGGTCCTGGGCCTCTGGCGTTGGGTGAGCATGGGGGCTCCCGACCTGTCCGGCACACCGTGCTCCTGCTCAGCGTAGTGTTCAGAAAGTGCTGCCCATTTTGCAAGAAAATGAGTTTTTGTTGTCTCGGCAGTCGGCCGGAGCTGGCAGTGCTCCTTGCTGCCCTCATCGCTGCAGCAACAGGGGGGCTGAAAAACTCTGCGCTGTGACCAGGCTGGGGGAACGGGAAGACTTATCTCCCTCTTGACTGGCTTCAGTTTCTGCTCCTGCTAATTAGAGTGGATGTCATGGGAGCAGCTTTCCCGAGATAGGAAAAGTTAGCAGTGTTTCAGCAGTGAACAGGGGAAATATTTCAAATAGACTTCTGATATTGCAGTTTTGAAGCTTAAAGGGGTCTGATACCATCATCAACAGAAAAGGGGAATTTGATAATCCCAGAAGTTAGCCTTTTCCTTTCATGAAAAAAAAAAAAGACTCATCTGGGTTTTCTATTTAGCTCAAGGCCAACTTTCACTTAGGCTTGTTTTAGTTTCACTCCAGTGATTCTTCCCCCCGCTTTTTTGACAGTGAGGTTTTTGCTCTGTGTCAACACTTCAGCAGTGTTTTCGGTGGAGAACATGAAATTATCCTATGCAGAGAACCCTTGTGAGACCTCAGATACCTTTGAAACCAAACTTTGCAGTCAACGGAGATGGGCCGAAGATGGGGCTTCAACCTTGTCGTAGCAGTGCCTTTCCCCCCCAACGAGACTTAGTTTCCACTAAACCTTCTCTCCAGCGTTGCGTCGAACAAACAATTCTTGTAATCTAAGTGCTGATATTTAGGGGGAAACAGAAAACAGAAGGCAGCGGTGATGCCACCAGATTCCCAGGCCCGTTGCACCTTCCAAGCGTGTTTCTTCTTCAGCCAGGCGATCTTTGCCGGATGCAAGTCACACGGATGCAGCCTGGGAATCACAGAACCACAGAATCATTTAGGTTGGAAGGGACCTCCGGAGATCATCTAGTCCAGCCTCCCTGCCCCAGCAGGGTCACCTAGAGCATATTGCCCAGGATCGCGTCCAGTCGGGTTTTGAATATCTCCAGGGAAGGAGACTCCACCACCTCTCTGGGCAACCTGTGCCAGTGCTCTGTCACCCTCACAGAGAAGAGGCTGTTTGGGTCATGGAGTTGGGCTGCTGCACCATAGCTCTATCCAGACTAATTAAACCCACTCGCGTTGCACCTCTGCTCACCGAACGCAGAGAGGAGAGAGGGAGCGCACTGATTGCAGGCGAGGAGGAGTGAAAGGAAAGGCTCAGAGATGTGTGACAAAACACAAACACAGCCTGGAGGGAGGGGTGTACGAGCCAAACACGCTCCTCGAGAGCCCCGGTTCCCGGGAGCGCCCAGGGTGCCTCTACCAGGGAGGACCAAGGCTCCCGGGTGAGTTTTGGCTTCGGGGTGCTGCGAGTGGGTGACGTTAGGAGGAGGGGTCGTGTCCCGCGTCTTGGCAGGGGTGCTGCTGGGTTTCCACACTGGTTTTACGCCTCGGATACCGGTCGCAGCCTGAGCGCAGCATGGGCCACCTCTGCATTCCTCCCAGGCTTCCCAGGTGGACTTGGCAGTTCCCGCCGGGCTGCTTGGCCGGCCCGTTGCTGGTGCATGAGCCAGGCTGGATTTGTCCACAGCGCCTCTCCTCCACCAGGCTGAAGCCGCTTAGCGTCGCGGAGGTCTTTCCAGGCAAACAGCTGATGCAGGGACTGGGAAGGTCAAGCGCAGCGTTCCCGCTTCTCTCCGAATATGATTCTTCTCATCTTATTGCCAATCGATGCAGACTTCCTCTTCACGCCTGCACTGATTTCTGTAGGAATCGTTTTTGATCGTGCCGGCAGGTTCCAGAAATGAAGTCGAAGGAGCGCAAGGGATTTCCAGGCACGTAGTTAAAGATGGGCACCGAGATCCGGAGCGTACGGGAAGGGTGGGAGAGACCGCCGTGGCGTTAAGGATGTGCTGAGCACAAGCAGCAGCAGAAGATGTGACCCGAGAGGAGCAGGGCTGTGCTAGTGCCCGCGGGGAGCCTGGGTCTCATACAGACGGAGGAAGGAAAGGTGCAGCCGGACGGGTGGACCGGACCCAGGGTTGCAGCAGCATCGTCCTGGGGAGAGGCAAGAAGACTGCAAAAGAGCAAGGAGCAGCTCCAAGGCTGAGGGTAACCTGGCTTACACGGGGTGGGGTGGGGGTCCTTATCTTCAGTATTCGGGAGAACAAATGTTGCTTACGTTCCTTAAGTTCGCCCTCTGTAGACACTGAGTCCTTTCACTCCTTGTCGCTGTAGCCCGGTGCACGGTCACGCGGGGCCGATCGCCGCCGCCGCCGGGGCCTCGTCGCGCAGCCCGCTGGCGCTTTCAGCCTCCCGGGTTTTCCGAGCTCTTGCCAGGTTCGAAGAATTGTGCGGGGCGGCCGCGGCCTCGTTAAAACGTCAGTACGTGAGCCGGCGCCCCTAATCGCTGCTTCTCGTTTTCCTTAGCGGCGAGCGCCGTGCTCGAGCCGGAATTTGAAATTTCAGGTATGAGCTAAGCGCCGGGGCTATTTATAGCGGCTGTAAGCATACAATTCTGCATTTACAAACTCGTGGGAACGGCAGTATTGCGGATAAAGACCAACAAAGGCTTAAGCCCAGGGGATTTTAGCCCGTTTTCCTCTTCTTTCGTTCAGTTACCGATTTTGTAAAGCGCTCAGTTTTCTGGTGGCTTTTGCGTGACCATAAAGGGTCGAACGTCTTCAGTTACGTATCCGTCACGCAGACAGATAGTTTCCTAGCTGGAAACTTTGGGGAGGCTTCGGGCTGCAACCCAGCCCGCCTCTGGGAGCGGCGTTGTTGAGGGCCGTTCGTAGAAAGCAGGCTGCTTCTTGTCAGCTGCCCACCTTTGCTTGCTCTTCTAAGCCCGTATTAGCGCATGTTCCTGGAACGAGATCGGGCCGTTTGCCAGGTGCATGAAGCCGCGGGGTGCCGTCCCGTCCCTGCCCCAGGGACGGGGCCAAGTCGGGCAGGGATCTTGGAGACGTTAAGGTCAGCGCCGTTGTGAGAAGCGGCGCGGAGGAAACGCGCTCCGGCGCCGCTGCCGGGGGAGGAAGGTGAGGAAGAGCGCGGCAGAGCACGGGGCCGGCCGGGGCGCGGAGGGCTCGTCCACGGTGGACGTGGACGCTGATGCATTCGAAGGATGCTGGAAACTGCTGTTCTCTGAATTAACCGTTCCAATTCAAGGGATTTCTCCCTGAGCGGCGAGAAGCCACTTCCTTCTCGAGCTAAGTTATAGCCTTCGTCTGGCAAAGACTGAATAGCGCTAAGACAAGCAAATGTGTCTTTAAGAACTATGTTTATTTAGGCAGATTTTGTGGTAGTGAAAACTCTTACTTCGAAGTAGCTGCTTATAAGTGTCTGTTCCAGGACATAAATTTCACAGCTTTTGTATATTGTTAAATGTTATGTTCCTACTCAGGTCAGAATTTATGAAAAGCGCCGTCGGTGCTGATATCTGAAGGGCAGATTTGCCTCCGGACCAGTGGTTGCTTGAACGCTTTTGAACAGACTTTGAGAAGATCGGCGGCGTTGCTTTATTTCCCAGTAACGGGCTTACCGGCGCCGCTTCCGCGGGGAAGCGCCGCAGCCCTCTTTATCGGAAAGCGAGAGCGCCGCCGTGAAAATAGCTTCATTTAAGCCATCGTGTGAGATCTAGCAGATCTGCGTTTGTTTGTTTGTTTGTTTGTTTTTAAACTGGCCCAATATATGATTTAATGCAACCGTCAGCAGACTCCGTTAAAGGCGTTAGCGGTAGAAACCGTAAACGCGTGAAAGAATGTTGATTTTTCGCGAGTGTTTTTTCGTCAGTGTTTTTAAGGTGACCAGCGCTACGGACGGGTGGTCTTTATTCTCGCCGGCATCAAAATGGCTATATGTAAATGTCTGAGACCGTATACGCCTTGCCCCCGCCGCAGCGGAGATCGGGCCCAGGGCGATGACTCTTTGGTGCCTTTTTTGAGAAAAGGTAATTGAGAGAAACAAGCTGCTTTCTGTGCAGTCGGGGCTGCCGTGAGAGCGCGCAGACCTGAGGCGGGTGGCGCGAGAGCTGTCGCAGAGCCCGAACCGTCTGACTCTCTCGCGTCGGGCATTAACCCCCCCAAAGCCTGCGAGAAGATCGGGGAGCGGGTGCTTAAACAGGCAGGGGGGGGTTGAGAGCTGAAGGCACCTCGAGTGGCTTTTGAAACCAGTCCCACTCTTAAATAAACGGAGTGTTTCAGCCCGTGTAAATCATGCAAATTTGCAAATAAAATTGATTTCGCTGATAGAAGATTAGAGGGATTTGGGAAGGAGTCTGTAATGGGGATTTGCGCGCCGTCTTAACTACAGTCGTCCTGCTGCCTCACTCGCAAGGGAGAAATAGAAAGGAGAACACGTTATCAAGCCAGAGGTAACAAAAATACTTTGGGATCCCCTTGGGGTACGGCGCTGCCGAATTTCGGCTCGGGGCAGCCCCTGAAATGATGGGTAATGGGGTTTTCCGGACGTCCCGTGGCAGCGTCTGAGCTTTGGGACCTGGAGGATTGAGAAAGACGATGCTGGTTGGCACCTGTCGGTGTTTCCAGGTGGCTTCAGGAGTTACGTGCCTCACGTTTAAAGCCGTTGCTAGAGTCCCGGCTTTACGAACGCTCGGAAAAGCTGTGCCCCGGGGCACCGTCTCCTCCGTTGCTCAGTGGCTGCCCAGTTCTGCGCCCTTTGCAGAAAACTGCCGCATCTTGCTTCGAGCAGGGCTTGGCCCTCGGTGCAGCTCGTTCGTCCGTGTAGCAGAATCGTTTTCACTTATTGGAGTAACTGAGCCGCTCTCGGGCACGGTGGCTGCGGAGATTTAGCCACAAAAAGGCCTTTCATGATGTTCCTTTTACAGGCAGAAAATTAAATTTAGTCCGTAGCGATACTTTCTAATGTTTAGCAATAACCTGGGACAGTATGATGGAGCTTTCAGGTTTATTGGTTGATGTTGCTTAATATTCTGATTTAAAGCTCTACCTTAGCCAGATTATTTGATGTGCAGCTCTGCAGACTGGTCCACAGGGCTTTTTATTCCTATGCGCTGTTGCCAGATGCATACGGCTGCCTGAAACGTTAATACCGGCCGCAAATCCAGGAATGAGAGATGCTTTCACCTGGCTCGAGTTAAAATGCCTGGCCTGCGTCTAGGGTGGATGCGGCGTGCGCTGCCTGGCTACCGACGAGCGTGAGAATCCGGCTGCAAGCCACGGCCCCGGCACGGGGAAAAGCTAGCGTTTGCTTGGCCGGCTCCTGCAGGAATTGAGCTCGAGGTTTCTGTCGAGAAACAAAAGGCGGTGTCGTTAAAACGCTCCTAGTTAGCACTCATCGGCTTCCTGCCGGGCTGCCTGATCGCAAAGGCATGGAGGTCTGATGCGCTACACTTAAATAAAGTAGCCCAAAAGCGGAGAAGGATGGTGACAGGGGAAGGCAAACGCTTCTGGGTGTCTAGGGGAAGGTGTCCCCGCAGGGTTTTTTTGGCTTTGCCTCCTTACTCGGGCACGTGCTCGCCCCCCGTCCGGGGCTGGCCCGCGATGACCCACTTTGCCTGAGCAGAGGCTCTGCACCGTCGTGCTGAAGCGTTGCAGCTTTGTACAAATTTGGAGATGCCTCGCTCTTTTCCTAAACAGCTTTCTCTGAGGAGGAGAATGGCTGCGTGCCCCAGCCGTCCGCTGGCTTTCCGCGTTCCCGTTCGTGTCATCTCCCTCTGTGCTGAATGTGCAGAATCGGGTGCACGTAGGCGACTTTTGGGATACACCTCCCGTATTATGGCAGCATGCTGCTATTTTTAGCAGCAGCAAAGTAATTTTGGATTCTGCCCACAGAAAGAGGAAGAGATGGTGCAAAGCCAAGGCCTGAAACAGGCTGTTGTCTCTCTCCATGCCAAGAAGGTCCTGCTATACTGAGAGCCCAGCAACCATTTTGACCGTGTTCTTCCATAGGATACTCATTTTTCTAGGGAGTAAAAGCCTTTTATTTTTAGCCTGGATTGTCTTTTTTTTTTTTTTTTTAGCTCATGAACTTTGAAATAACTCATTAATGCTAAAACAGAAATCTGGGAGTGCTAAGAAAAGAAATCCGGGATATGGCTGTAAGCGAAGTGGGTGCATTTAAGCCTGCCCTGCCCAGCAGCCAGCACGTTCACCCGGGGCTGTCGTTGCCTCCTCTCAAAAATGAGCCTGATGACACTACAGATGTTGGAAAGATAATAAACCTGTGCCACGCTGACGAGATAGATTTGCCGAGTATTGTGGGGGCCGAGTATTGTGGAGACCTTCCATGTTTGACTTCCAGGATCTCTGATATCTTTACAGCAATGGCTGTTGATCATTTCTTTGGCACTGTAGCCTTTTATGACTCTTTCTGCCTAGCTCTGAGTTCATATTTAGAAACAACCTAGAGCTTCGAACTCATATCTCTTTTCTTCCCCACCTCTAAAGCAAACGGATGTGGAAGATAAGCTCCTGTGGCGCTGGTCCTCGGTGTCACCTGCTATCCGTCGGAGACCAGGGTGGTTTCTTGCTCTTTATTTTTGCGCTGGGGTCTTTCTAAACCCTGAGATATTTTAAAGGAATAATTCCCAGTGCTGTAGCTCTGTTTACACAGCGCTGAGTGATAGGGAAGTGTTTAATATTCCATCGTCCTTTGCTTTTAAGAGTACCCCTGGACATGCCTGGAGTTTAAATGCCTTGAGTGCGTGTGTGATGGCGAACTCTTGTTACCAATGGGCAAAATGAATGTAAAATACCAAAGAGGTGAACTCAGCCTTTTGTACGTGACAGTAGTCGTCTTCTCCACGACTGCAAACTCATAGGGAATTGCTTGCTAATTACAGATATCGGGGACTGGCTCTGCGTTAGTCTTGGCAGCAAACAATTTTGATCAGTCAAAAAACACTCCATGAGCAAGTGACAGACTGGGGAAGGTGAATGTCAGACATGAGAGAGACAGCAGGGACGTGGACACCCGGCCGGTCTCGGCCTGGAGTAGACGTTGACTGCCTTTGCTCCGAATCATTCAGCTTGTGAGGTCTGGGGGTAGCTCCAGCAGGAAGGAGGTGCTGGAGCCTCCCCTTGCTCCGTTTCTATGACGTGCTGCATATCAGCAGCAAGCTGGTATGTTCTCATCCCAGGTTAAAGGGTTCTCGTTTACTTAGGAAGTCTAATTCTGACCGACTGCGGGAGGTTGGCGCTGGTGCCCGGTGTTTGTGGGCGCTCGAGACTACAGCCAGTTTCCTTACCCTCTGCAGAGAAGGGGTGATCTACAGCGACCATGGTTTAGTGGGCCTCACTCCACTGCAACTGCTGTAATATCGCTTGCCGTTCTGTCGCGTAACACATCTTGCTGTTGGAAGCCCATAGAAAATGCAGGCACGTGCCGAACGGAGCTGTGAAATTTGCTCTGGGTTTGCAAAACGTT